TGACAGTGACAGTCAATAGTTCTAATTCCAGGTCTTGAAACTGAAAATTGTTGGGATGGAAGTCAATGTATGTTTTGCCACTGATGTCACTAGAAGCAGAGTGGGGTTTTTTTAAAGGTTTTCAGGGTAGATTAAGATTAAACTGGGAGTAAATCCACAAAACATGGCCCTGTCTTAAAAATCAGGAGCTTTTCTGTACAGTTTACACCTGTATCAGAGTTCTGGAACTTTCAGCTGCTGCCCTTCTCTTGGGTCATGCGGTAACATGATGTGAAAAATTGAGGAACACCACAATTCATTTCTTCCTAGTCCCGATGTCTTGGTCTTGTCCCTTTTTAAGTCAATGAAAAAACTCCCATTCACTTCAGTGCTACAGATTGGGATCTGGGTCTCTCACTGACAGCCAGTGGATGAGAATCTGCAATTAGCTATTGTACAATCAAACTGCCTTTTGTTGAGTGTCTCATTGCTGTGATAGAGCCTTCCCTAAACTCAGAGGGGATGGATCCCAAGAATGTAAGAGTCCTAGTTTAGGCAACTCTTACTGATAAATGGAATCTACTAATTCAAATCAGACTTCACAGTAAGGATTGCTTGCGTGAATAAGAGCTAAAGGCTCAGGAGCTTATTGTTAATTACCAGGAAATAGAATAATTAGATTCAGAAATGTCAAACGTTTGTTTTCTTTATACTATACTGCTTCTCTTCCAAGATCTGAAATATTGAGAGAGAGTTTTGAGCAATCCAAAATGTTGTGTGATTATAAAAACGTCTGTATCTCATTCAGAGTTAATAAAGTCAGGGTAACCTGTCCCTTAGCTCCTCTTTGGTGGTCCAAATGCAATATTTCATTTCCCTTTTAATTTTTAGGGTTAACAAGAAGATATATCACACAGTTAGCTTGAGTCCCATGTTTATTTCTTAGTTCTGTGTAAAAAGGCTAAGATTAAGCTTTGGTTTTCATAAAGGGACTCAATAGGACTGAAATGTATGTTTCTCTGCCACATAAATTAAATATCATGAGACCAGTACGCACAATATTCTTAACATTTGCTGTTCTATAGGTTATTACTTTGCACATGTACCGTATTTGCAGGCCATGATGTGTTAAATAATGGTATGTCAGATAACACATTTCAAGCCATTTGTTTTGTAGCAAGATTAGCTTTGATGAGGAAAAGTCATGCTTCTAAATAAGTGAGTACCGGTTAAGAGGATCTGTGGCACAAGAGTGCATTTAGTGTATTTATTAGCATGGGAATGGAATGACAGAACATTAATTTATCATTCAAAAAGTTTGTTTTATTGAAAAGTACAATAGCAGTCTGAAGATAACCAGCTAATTTGTCTTTAAAGACCAAAGGAGAGCTTGTTGAGGATTACGTGCTATGTTTTCTCAGTATGAAGTAACTATGATAGTTAGCAATTGGAAATCTGAATTATGAAACTGGAAGGCTGAGATCAGATATGCTAAATGGTTTAATCATTGGATAATTAAATTAGATAATAAAGATTATTTGTACGTGACGCAATCTACTGGGATTCCTAAATTCTGAAGACTTTTGTCTGCTCTTGTTGACCCAGCATTTACAGACCAGACTATGTACCTTCCCCCTTTTCTACTTTTGCTAAGACCCATATGTTCCTGTTTATGTTATAAAAAGCATGTTTATCAAATTGTAAGTCATGATTTACAGCAAATGCTGTAACAGTTGTTACAGGGACATTGCATATCTTTTTCTGGTAATATTTTTAAAACCAATTTGCAGAGTATTAGGATCACAGGATTTACCATAACAGCAAAGATTGTTGGTCTGTTTACTACCTTAGTGGATCAAAGACCACAGCTAAATACTTTAAAGAAAGGCAAATAACAAAGTACATGACCAATTGTGCAAAGATGTATGTAGGATAAAATTCCATTAATTTCAATGGCCCTGGGTCAAGCAAGATATTTAAGCTTTATTTAATATTTATTTCATATTTTAATCACATATTATTTCCATTGAAGTTGATATAATTATTTCTGTGCTTAATGTCAGGTCTGTGCTTAAGTATCTTGCTAAATTAAGGCTCTCACAATGATCTGAACAAGCCCTGAGGAATGATTTATATAATTTCACTATAAAATGTCTCTGTGGCATCAACTATGTTAAAATGATGGCTGGAGGGATTGGGGTTTTACCTCCAGAGTGTATACATCTGTTTAAAAATATATGCCTTCTATTGTCTATGTATATCTATTGTCTAAGATATTTTGGCCTTGGAAAGGGTTCAGAAAAGGGCAACTAAAATGATTAGGGGTTTGGAACGGGTCCCATATGAGGAGAGGTTAAAGAGACTGGGACTTTTCAGTTTAGAAAAGAGGAGACTGAGGGGGATATGATAGAGGTCTATAAAATCATGAGTGGTGTGGAGAGGGCCGATAAAGAAAAGTTATTTATTAGTTCCCTAAATAGAAGAACTAGAGGACACCAAATGAAATTAATGGGTAGCAGGTTTAAAACTAATAAAAGAAAGTTCTTCACACAGCGTGTAGTCAACCTGTGGAACTCCTTGCCAGAGGAGGCTGTGAAGGCTAGGACTATAATGGAGTTTAAAGAGAAGCTAGATAATTTCATGGAGGTTAGGTCCATAAAAGGCTATTAGCCAGGGGATAAAATGGTGTCCTTGGCCTCTGTTTGTCAGAGGCTGGAGGGGGATGACAGGAGACAAATCGCTTGATCATTGTCTTCAGTCCACCCTCTCTGGGGCACTTGGTGCAGGCCACTGTCGATAGACAGGATACTGGGCTAGATGGACCTTTGGTCTGACCCAGTACGGCCATTCTTATGTTCTTATGTCTAGGTACTAGAAATAAATGGACTCCATTGTCACAGGGTTATGCTTCATTGCTCAGGTTAGCTAGCAAACTTTTATTTTCAGATCTGCACTAGCAACACTGAAGGTTTCAGTTCATAACCCAAAACGCCAGAGTCATGCTGGCTTGTATTCCATGAGAAACACAGATAGCAAAGGACAAAAGCACTAGGAAAAGGAGAATAAATGGTTTTTAAATGCCCAATGTAATTATTCACTTATGTTAATCAGACATATGCTGCTATCAAAATCTACATAAGAACTGCTTTATATGGTCTATTCACAGAGCTTTACTTAGTTCTTTTCAGCAGAAATCATCTCTTTTTCAGCTATTATGGCCTCATATCACTCCATGTTTGGGCTACCCAAGTTAAATGTCTGTGGGGAGGTTATTCTCTGTGTTTATTTAGGAAGGAAACATTTGTGAATACTGTAGCCAAAGACTTTGCCCTGGTTATGTTTAATGCATTCTTTGTATCTGTGAATGCTATATAAGCATATGAATGCTATAATATGAACACTGATGTAACCAAGGGCTTGCTCAGAATGCTTTCTAGAGATGATCAAGTAGAGGTGCTTTCAGCTCCTAGATGAAATGTCTCACATACAGTAGCCACTGTGTGGGAAAACACCTGCTTTCTGTGTTCATTTGGCGTGCTTTGTACATCCCTGCATATCTTGTCATTACTAAGTAACATTGTACTAATAACCAGTTGTGTTAATATAACAGCTATGGGATAACTGGTTAGCAAACCCAGAGCTAAACTGATGATTGCGTATGCTGACCCAAATGCTGCTCTCATTTATGTCAGATAAATCCAGAGTAACCCCATCAATGACAATGGTACTTCCGTAGCTTAATACCTGCAGAAATGTGAGTAGAATCTGATTCTCCCTACTCTGGGTTTACAATCAATGGGAGCAACCCAAAACAGGGGCAGTGCAGTGATTCCAGTGGATTAGCCAGACAAAACCCTTACCACATAATATAAATGTTCAAAAGATTGTCGAGAAATGTTGCTGAAACATTTGCTTTTATTAATATTTGATTTAGCCAACTATAGTTGACATCCTGGCCCAGTAAGTCAAAAGCCAATCTCACTGACTCCTGAAGGGTCAGGAAGTCTCTCAGGGTATGGCTAGACTGCGTTGTTGGTTTTTTCAGGATACCTCAGGTATCCCAAAAAAACTCTGCTGCATTCATGGAATGCATTTGCTCTTCCACTTCTTTTTTTTTTTGTGTATGTGTGTGTGTTGAAGAGCAAATGCACTCTTTCGGAAGCCCCTGTATTCCTAGTTCTACGAGGAAGAAAAGGGCTTTCAAAAGAGGATTTTTTTCTCGACATTTGGTGCAGTCTACACAGGCCAAATGTCGGAAAAGCCTCTTCCAACAAAAGAATCAGAAAAAGGTGTGGAAAATGTGCAGCGCATTTTGTGTACTTTTTTCTGACAAAAATTTGTAGTCTAGCCCTATCCCGGATGTCTTTACTGCAGTGCACAACCCCTGCTTGTGAATAGGTGAGGAAATCTGTGACTTCAAACCAAGTGTAACAGCTCACAGAACTTGAAATAACCACTGCTGCATAGCATAGCCATATCCCCTATGCACCAGTGGGACCCAGACAACATCTGAGATCATGTCATTCCACACCCTTCCAAGTGGAAATATGCAATTGACCATATTGCCGAAAAACAAGAGAAAGTGTCACCTAGATTGTCAGTGGAAAAGAAAGTGCGGAGACTCATGTCTGAACAGGCAAGTGGGGAGAGTGCAGTTCTTCACACTTCCTCATAGAGGATGGTAAGTGGCTTTCAGTAAGCCTGTCTTTTTCACCTGTCATTAGCCTGATGGAAACAAGCATCTTGCTTTGCTGTATTGAAATCATTTGTCGCACTGTTCATATAACATATCACATAGGTATGTTGCTTTGTTTTCAGATGCCGGAGCCATTTGTAATCACTTCAAAGCAAATGTTATGGTTGGTTTTTAATTTCATTCATTCTATGTCCTTACATTGAATGGCAGACTATCATTTTTTAGTGTGATATACAGTAATCATGAAGAAATAGAGCATATCTGTTCGTGACATCCGTGATCACATAAACATTGTTTGGTTTTCCCCATAATTCCATAAATGAAGAGTCAGCCCCACTGCCCATCCAATAGGAGAGGGAAGAAAACCTCAAGGACCCGAAGAGAACAACCTCTTCCTCAGCCTAATAACCTGTACAGTTACAGCAAAGTAAGTGTGATTATGCAGAACTGGGGAAAAATTATGGAAACACCCGCTGAAGTAGGGCTCAACTTATTGGCTAGAGCTTCAATTGCCACCTAAATCCAACCATATTGAAAACAAGCAAACCTCCCACCAGCAAAGACTCCACTACTGAGAAAATAAGAAAATGGAATATTACATAATCTAATCTGTTCTTCACAATGCCCTGCATTAGTAAGGGATGCACTATTTGGATCATGGACTAAGTCCACACAGGATAAAAGTCTACATAGTTGGTTGATAATGTCTGATAATGTTTGCAATTTTTTCCATGAAAATTTTAATAGTTAATGAAAATAATGTCAACATTTATTTTAGCCTGATTTGTGACCCACTACAGAACTGGATGTAAAATGTCAATAATTTTTTCATGGATTTTCAACAAAAATTAAATTAGCTTTTCATATTTTTTTGTGAAAATTATATCCCATTTTTCAACGAGCTCTGAAAACATGATACATAGTGTGAACTAACCCCTGTGCAGAGAACCAGCACAAGACTACCTTACGCATCATTTAATCCATCAAAACAGAAGTCATGTGGGACTTAGGAAGCACGTAGGCCTTTCCTATAAGGGTGAAATTCACCAAGAGATTACATGAGCAGATAAAATTACTCCACCTAATAAACACGTTGACAGATCATGTGCTGAGAATTTTTCATTTTATATGTTCAGTCCCATCTTCCTTTCTCTCTCTCCTCCTTCCTCCCTGTCCTTTTCACTTTTGCTTTTGTTGGATATGGTTTGGTATGTATGCAATTTGAAGGTGTTTCCATATTTTTTCAGTTATTATATATATATATATGTATTTACTAACTACTAAATATGTATTTGTTTAGTGTGCTAACACAATTTGTCTCGTGATGTATGTAGAGTGTCCGACAGTAGAGAAGCACCTCATATTAAAATAGAAAAGCTTGTATCATTTTCTGAAAAAAAAATGTGGGGGAATAACTAATGGATATGTGGGCTGTATTGAACAGAAACTGGTTAATATTACTAGCCAGAATATGTCAAAAATATTTTCTTCTGACCTTATTCCATGTATAATTACTCCTATTAAAGCAAAATTGGCTTGCTTAGTTTAACAAATGAAAAGAATTGTTGCATTCATATACTTATTATTCTTGCTTTAAGATCTTTTTTTGGGTAGAAATTAATGCCATATATACTCATACCTGCCTTTCTTATCCATCTATTTTATTTATGTGTCTCAAATGTAGGGCCCAGCTCCATAGTTGACATGGGTGTAAACAGCTCCCTAGGACTCAATAGTTCTATGCCCATTAACGGTAGCTGAATTCTTCCCCAAGTACTTAAAGACTACGTCTAGACTGGCATGATTTTCCACAAATGCTTTTAACGGAAAAGTTTTTCCGTTAAAAACATTTGCAGAAAAGAGCATCTAGATTGGCACGGACGCTTTTGCGCAAAAGCACTTTTTGCGGAAAAGCGTCCGTGCCAATCTAGATGCGGTTTTGCGCAAGAAACCCCGATCGCCATTTTCGTAGCTTTTTTGCACAAAACAGTTTTTTTGCGCAAAACAGTGAGAGCATCATAGTATTTGTGCAAGAACACTGACAATCTTACATTAGCTTGTCAGTGTTCTTGTGCAAATTCAAGCGGCCAGTGTAGACAGCTGGCAAGTTTTTCCGCAAAAGCATCTGCTTTTGCAGAAAAACTTGACAGTCTAGATGCAGCCAAAGTGTATATTGGCTAAAGCAGCTTCTAGGAGAACATTTCCCATATTTTCCTTTAGAATTCTATTTTGCTTAGCTTCTTATACTTTGTTGATCACTCAGAGATCTGAGCACTTTCTTGAGTTAAGAATAACCAGTTAAGGAAGAGTCTGTCAGATGAGGTTATGTCTGTTTTCTTGTCACCTGGAATAGTCATGTGGGTGCCTTTTGCTTCCTTTCCCTCCATTTTCTTTCAGTAGACCACATTTAAAAAAAAAATATGATATGTAGTTTTGCAAGACAGCAAGGTCAAACTATGAGTTTTGCATTTGTTTTGAAAAGCCTTGATGTGTATGTAATTCTTAGTTCCTCTGGGAGTGAATTCTGCATTTTTAAGCTCACCTTCTAGGAAGGCCTATCTCCTGCTCATTAGAAGTTGTCTTGGGAAATAGCTTTGTTATGAAAAATCGTTTCTAAGAGTGATCACAGGCCCAAATAGAGAGGCAGGTGTTAGGCATCTTGTATCCCTGGCCATTTAGCACTTTAAAATTAGGAATAAGGCTGCACGATGTGATATTTTATTTAAAGGTAGGCAGTGGCATGTAGAGAACATGTGCTATGTGTTTCTAAGGATGTGCTGATGTTTTCATGTCTAAAAGCTTGCATTGTGATAATTCAAGGAGTTAACAGAAGCATGCATGGTCAAAGTTAGGGTATGTCTAGTCTACAGGCTTTTGCCAACAGAAGTTTTGTTGACAGATACTGTCGACAAAGCTTCTGTCGACAAAGAGCGTCTAGACTACATTCAGTTCTGTCGACAAAGCAAGCTGCTTGGTCGACAAAACCCTGTAGTCTAGACACAACCCTAGATGCAATAACACCTTCTGTCGACAGAACTCTGTCGACAAAAGGTGTTATGCCTCGTAAAATGAGCTTTACCAGCATCGACAGAACTCAGCGGTAGTGTAGACGCAGGTATAGTTTTGTCGACAAAACTCTGTAGTCTAGACACACCCTTAGGTATCAATAATAAGCTTGAAATGCAGTTTCCTAACCTCTTGAAGGGGGGAAGTCTGCATTTCTCACAGAAGATGGCATATCCAGCATTAGCTGTGGCTGTGAGAAGTTGGAAAAAAAACATATTTCAGTCTTTGTTGTTGCTCTATGGACAAACATCTTTGATTGCCTGACACAGCACTGTGCAAGCAAGCTGGTGAAGTGTTTCTTCTACCCCAAGCTGGATGAAGTATTTCTTCTTCTGTTATCTCAGTAGGGTTTAATTTAAGCCAGCTCTTACTCCTTTATGCGCTACTGTAGTTAAACAGTGAAATGGCTGGGCAACAGCGGTGTTAGCAAGAGATGTGAACAGCAAAGCTGTGTCATGATCATATTGTTGACTTGAAATATAGGCACAGGAAACCTCATCATTTCTCATACCAGCTCCATGTGAATAGTGATAAGGCAGAAGCTATACCAGAATAGAATGGTGCTCCACAGGTGAAGGGGGTTTGGTGGCAGAGGTACAGTTGCCCATCACTGACCTTTGGATAAAGCATTGAGGAAAAATTCAAACCATTTCCCAGTGTTCCCCTAGAACGCTGATACCTTTCATAGATAGAACCCAACCTGAATTCTAGGTTGGCAGGATCTAGGATAGTAGGAGCAGAAGCCAAGAATTGCCATGAACCAGTAGAAGATGTGAAGGAGCTAAGGCTTCTATTCCTGTCCATAAGCTGGTGTAGTAAATACTGAGTACCATACAGACTACATTTGAGTCAATGGCAACACTTCCATTGATTTCAGTGAAGCCAGGATTTATCCCTGCCTCACTAAGCAAGAGAAAGGGGAGGAGAGGCAAAAGGGCCATTTTGGCTTGGGTCTCAGGAGATAAAAGGGCCTCAAATGTTGACCTTTTTCTACCAAGTAATTTCCATTTATTATACATCTTGCAGTTATTATAGAAACAACAAAAGAAGCTATATAGACCTGCAAAAAAATGATTTAAATCATTGTGGGACCTCGAGCCTTCACCAATTTTTGGTCACATGTGAGTTTTCATCTGTGTGACTGGAGACTGGAATAGTTTCTGTGATTAGTAATTCTGTGTTATGAAATGCTATTTACAGTCTTTGTATAGTTTAAAGGTTTTGAAAGTCATAATTAATTCTGTTACTGTAAAGTGATTTTGCTTGGTCTGAGGGTGAGCTTAACCTTTAAATTAGATTTTTATCTCTGCATAGGAGATTTTTATATTCCCGTTTTTTCTTACGTGTCTTTGTATACAATAACCATATCAGGCTCAGCTGTAAATAACCTCTTCATCCAGTTTTAGGTTCACTTTTAAAGGCTTTTTTGTGATAATAAACTTTTAATTCTAGTTATTTAATAAACGTTATATCTAATCTGGCAATTGCTCTGTGTTCATATTCAAAATAACACACCAGTTATTAGAGGAATTTAATAATGGGAATATGTTACCAGACAAAATTTCAAGATTTTGAAATAAGTTCACGAGGGCCATAGTAAATAAACCCCCCAAACCATTATTATATAATAATTGTGAAGTATACAATTAAAAGTCTGTATAACAATAGCCTTTAGTGAATTTAATTTATTATGTGTACTGTGTTTTAAAAGAACTCCTTTATAAAAATGAAGCGAAGTTTGAAAGTGGTGCAAGTAAGAGATGGCAAAAGCAACAGAGTGAAGCAGCAGTTAAGAGTTTAAAGCCAATAACATCATTTGTCATAGAATAGACACCTCAGCCATTATATGGTGACCATACTGACATTGACACTTCCAGTTCTGATGATAAAAACTTTGTACCCACAAATGACATTTCAATGCCATTGCCTCAAAATGAGAATGTCATTAATCAAGACACAGAAATGCCAACAGTAGCAATAGATGCAGAATATACTCTCGAATTAGAGACTGTACAGGCAGAAAACAAAGACCTTAGAGATGCTGGGCAGCAAGAGCAAGAACTTATGATTAGCACAGAACACAGCGTAACAACAGTGGCATCAGAACCTGATATTGAGCTTCTTGATAAGAACAATGTTGCTCAAATGAAATCATTTCTCAAAGTTAGTTGTTTTCCGATTCCAAGTAATATACAGAAAGATGCTGAAAATCATGCTTTCCCCCCAAGTCTGCCCACAAAAACTCTTCCAAATGGAGAGATCTACATAAGAGGCTGGTTCCACTGGAGCATGAAAAGTAGGCTCTGTACTGTGTACCCTGTTTCATTTTTAACAGTAATACATCAAATGCATCGGTACTGT